TTTTAGATTTATTTCTTTTGTGAAAAACACCAGTTCATATTTTCTTATTATTACGTCGGTAAGATCGAAAAATATTATGCATATTTCATTGCTGAGTAATTTCGGTCCTCCAATACCAATGAAATTAATATGGGACCACATGGGTAGCACTAGCTTTCAAATGAAAAAAGAATCATCAAAATCCGTTCACTCCGAAAGTTCTGAGGTAACTTAATTCATTAAAAAAAATACAATCGAATTTAGAACCTCCTCTTTGTTTTGAAGTCGGGTGAAAATTAAACTGTGCTTGAATCAAAAAATATATTCTACCGACATACGTACGATTCGTCGTAAATTTAATTCGGTAAATCAGAATACCCCATCCAGTATAGAAGCGCCGGTTAGGGTAATCTGGTTTAGTCCAGAGGACAACGCTAGACCAACAGTTCGCTAGAAATAGCCTTAACCTAGATTGTAGCCAATCTGCAGCGCTGACCCAATTTCGGACGAGACCTTTCCTATAAAATCAATAAACTGACCTCCGGCAGTTTACTGTAATATTTAAATACAGACAAGGCGCAGTATTTTTGTTCTGACGATGGCTATGATATTACTTCAACATGTTTCTTTGTATTTTTATGTTAAAAGTTTTGTATTATTATAGACATATCTTATATCATTAAGTGTGTAGATAAAGGTGACGTAGATAAGGTGGCAGAAACATCTAAAACCCTACGGCTGTTGCAAATGTCCGTGGGCGGATATCACTTAGCATCAGATGAAACGCCAGCTAATTTGCTACGTTCTCACTTAAAAAAAATGAAAATATTGAAAGCATCAATCAGTTTATTGCTTCTATATTGAATAAATAATATTGAATTCTTTATTCAATTCAATAATATTTCAATTTAATAATAATTATTTGAAATTGAATCGAATGCACAAATGTCTTATAGTCTGCATTAAATTCTGATAAAAACAAACCAACACTAAAGCGTCGTAGGACTGCCTCCAATATAGCTAATGCTAGAGTCTAGAGCGTTAAAAATGCAACGTGCCATACGTAGATAAATGTCCGATAATTGCCAAATTGACACCGGATTGGCGCCCTATTTGACTTCTCCATTACGACTGATTAACCAATACCGAAAAAGGCGTGCGCACGTCCGTCGGTTGACACTTTTAAAAATAAATTGGCAATTACGGCTAGCGTTTAAAATTTTAATTTATTCTGCGGTAATTGCATTATAATAGAAATATTTGGTGTTGGAAAATTGACACAGAAAAAAAACTATTAAAAATTGAATAAAATTAATAAATTTTCAAGAAAAAGGTAAACTATTACCTCGTTCAACGTCTTGGCCTGCTCTTAAATCACGCGGATAAAAATTATTATTACATTTGCAATAACAGTAACATAAGATTGGTGATGTTTTCGAATTTAGGAAAAGCAAAAATCACTTTGTCACATAATAATATTTTGTCATTTACTATAAATACATTGCGAAATATTTAATAAAATATAGCTAAATCTTCTGACGTGTTTAGTAAAGATATATTTCTGCGACTGCGATTATTTAACACTTTATCTTGTAATATCATTGAATGTTTCACGAAAACGCTAACAATAATTACAATGAAATTGCAAAAATGTTACAAAGACTACAAGGCTAACTATCATTTAGATGGCTTAAATCACAGTAAATTTAAAATCGATAACAAGTGACGGAAGGTAGTATTGAACCGGAACGGGGTTTAATCTGAATTTGAAAGCTCAGAGAGATCGTACTTCACTTGAAAACTGACCGGGAGAATTACATCCGCCGCGTAGCACGCCGCTACGGCCGTGCTACGAGAACCCCGAGCGGTCGTCAAAGCCGGGTCTACGGGAGTCCATCGAATTTTGCCAATTCGGATGTCGCGTTGTATTCCGATTGACATCGCCTGTCAGTGCCACGTCGTAAATCGACAATGCAGAGATGGAAATGGCATATGCTTTCGGCACTGCGGTTGAGGCCCGATGACTGACTGAAATGTTCCGTTTATTGCGATACTTTTTGAATTGTCGCCACCCTCAAGTTTCCGATTTGAAGAATATTAGATGACTGAATGGACGATGACCATTTTTTAGGGATCCGTACCCAAAGGGTAAAACGGGACCCTATTACTAAGACTCCGCTGCCTGTCTGTCTGTATGTCTATCCGTCTGTCACCAGGCTGTATCTCATGAACGACCACGATAGACAGTTGAAATTTTCACAGATGATTTATTTCTATTGCTGCTGTAACAAAAAAAAGAATGAAAAAATATATAAGTGGGGCTCCAGTACAACAGGAATGATTTTTTTGTCGTTTTTATAGATAATGGAACGGAACCCTTCGTTCGCGAATCCGACTCGCACTTGGACGGTTTTGTACAGGGGCATGCCCTAACTTTTTTTTATGGGAAAAGGAGGCAAACGGGCATGCGGGTCACCTTTTTTCTATGTGAAAGGTTGCCAAGCGAGCAGATGGTTCACCTCATGGTAAATGATCACCGCCGCCCATGGACAGTTTGTCTAAAAAATAATTATTGAACACTTGAGAGAACAATTATTGAAAGCTTGAGACCTAGGTGCTACCTAGGATCCAGCTGCAGGTTTTCGTGAATTCAGTAATCAAAATAAAGCTCTTCCAAAAAACTAAACCGACCATATATCATATTGTCTATATCTCATTATCTGAAACAATTTATGAGCAAAATTAATCATATGCACGCTTAATGTACCATTTGATATAATTATGTAAAACTTAATTTTCAATTAATGAAGTTAATGTTATTATTCGTTGATATACTGCAGCAACAACTGACTCAAAATAATAACTAAATATCAAGTTTCAGTTAATTAGGAAAGCTGAATTTAATACAAATTATTGGGAGATTTGTGATAATTTTTCTTAAAAGGGAAATGTAATAGGTACTGAATTTATCCCTGAAAAAGCTTTTTAAAGGGTTAAGGGTTTAGACTGGTAAATAAATAAATGTTTTCAATAAAACTTCTTCGTCCTATATAAGTTTATTGTTTTTTTTTTTATTTATCCAATATTTACAACATTAAATCTATCTAAAATTACTTATGATGTAATAGTTTATTGTCCTCTATTGATATATCGGCAACGTTCTATACAAAGTTGTAAACCTTATTTCTATGAATTTACCATGTTACAAATGAACACAATGTAAGTTTAAATGAATTATATTTTATAGGATCATAGTACAAATTATAAATGTTTCTTATTACTAAGTCATATTGTGTGAGAAATATTTAATGTATAAACATAAAAATACTGTAAGTCATGTTGTTATATTTACAATTTTAAAGTTTCTATTATAAAATGAAAAATGACAAACATTTATAAACTTATAAAGTATTTTTATGTACAAAAATATTACCACTAATACCAATGTTTTCATTTCTTTTTCGCCGTGGCTATGGTATTTCATTCAATAAATTGTGCTAAAATTTATGAAATTGACATTAACATACTAATATACACTTTCGTAGGGCGTTATAACATAAAATGATACAATTATCTATTGGATACAAATTTACAACTCAATGCAATACAGTATATTATGGCAATGACATGACAAAGAAAATTTGAGTCTAACAACATTTGACAAAGAAATTAAATAAAACTTTTAGTAGGTACCTTTCTGCAATACGTGGGTTTAATAAGGGATTTAAAGTAAAATTAATAAACACAATGAGTGGAAAATGATACAAGTACGTAATAAATAATAAACATGAAAAACAAGAATAATATACATTTTATTACATAAATGGTGAGTTATAGAGTCATTGACAATTACAACAGGTAACTTTTTAAGAGGGAATTGAAGAAGACATCATTTTAACAGACAATTTATTTTATCTTTTGTGCCAATAATTACCATGTATCAATATTATTAAGACATAAAAATGACACCCAGGAAATTGTGTTTTTCGTCTATTTCCTATTAAAAAATATATCTTAAATTCACAACTATAGTACAAATACATTTTTTACGTAAAGTACGTGTATATACAATTATTTATTTATTATTATTTTTTTATTGTACATTACAAATAATAAATAACATCCCTTGGTAAAATATAAAATGTGAATTATTGTATGATACACAAAGTGTTTCACGCAGTATTTAGGCTGGTATGGGAGAGACTAATCATATTTACAATTGAACCTCCACTAAATAGAGTACAATTTATAGAGCTGTGTACGACTATTACAGACTTGGCTCTTCTTGCATTTCCTTCATAGAGCGAGCTCTGCGACGAAACCAGGTTTTTCCGTGCGATTTGACTTGTAAATTACCCCACCTGTTGCACCACACACTTCCGGCGGCAAACTGCACACGCCCGGCGGCGGAAAATCGCTGGAAAAAATCGTAGAAAATTAGTTTTTTGCTCCAAAACTTAGTTTTTCTCGTGGGAAGTGGCTAAAACTGCTCCAGAGCAAGGAGAATCGCGTTTAAAAGACATCAACGTCCGAGTGACGTGGGCTTAATCTATACGCATAAAACCTTTGTAGAAATTTAATACTAATCCTGAAAAAAAATTTTTCAGGGTTAAAAATATTTAGACACGTATGAAAAACTTTTCACTGTACCATGAGGCCTGTGCGGTGCTTAGATTCTGCATAATCACACCACCCGTTTCAGCGATGCACTTTTCCGCTGAAAAAAAAAATGAGTCCTGTTTCCACTTATATTGCACCATTTACAACGTCCTCAATCGTTCTACGCGACTTAATTCTTGCTAAACGGTCGACTTTCTTCCGCCGGAAGGGGCGCGCAACGATTTTTGGCTCGCGCAAAACAACGAACTTAATTCTATTCCGACCGTCCACGCGTACAACGGTCCACGAAGGTCATATCAAAAATCGGCCCCGATTACGCAGCAGACCCGCGTCAAATTCACTGTGATTCGATAAAGCGAAAGCGCCATTCAAATTAAAAACGATTTCGCACAACGAGCTCGATGCAACTGCGCGGAAGTGAGGCGACGCGCGCAACGTGCAACGGTGCGGCGGACACTGCTTTCAGGTCCCGCTCCAAAGCTCCTGCGAAGCGTCGGTGTTCCCATTGCGAGGTATTGCACAGTCCGTTTGGGAAATTGAATCGAACTGCGAACGGTCCGTTTCGCAGTTCGATTAATTACACACTCGATACCAGTTCGCGTGTGATTATCACTCAGTTCAAATCGAGTATAGTTTTAAGTGGTTTTCTTGAAGTTTTAAATAAAATATGTTAATGTTTCTTTTTTCAAATGATTTTTGACGAAACCCAAATGAAATGTTGCACTCGTTTTGCAATCACTTGGCATTTTCTTAATACGCAAACTTTAATTTAATTAAATCTTCTTTGACATCTAAATTTTCACATTAGGATCGTTTAAATTAGATAAAAAATTGTTAAATTCTATATTTTTAGTACCAGCTTTATGGATCTTTTTATGAACAATAATTAATCCGAAATTAAAGCTTTATTACATAAAACATAAAACATAAAATTATATTCCTGTGCCACATTTAACTTTATTATAATATTAAACGATTTTATATTGAACGTTGTCTTTGTACCTATGTGTTTGTCAAATTGTTAGAATTTAAATCTCAATATTCTGTAAAAGTTATTAAAAAAATTGTTGGTTTGTTACGCCTTCAAAAATACTTAATAAATAATAAACCAACCTATTAAACTAACGTGATAAAATAACCCAAGAATAAGCATCATTGATTTCTGCTACGGATTTCATTTTACTAGTTTCATTTTGAAGTAGGTTGTATACTTTTATAGTATATACTTTTAAATTTAATATTTGAAAATCCTTACCAGATTAAATAATTAAATACACTACTTAATTAACGAACTATATATTTTAAGGTAGATTTTTATTATCATTATTATCTATTACTATTATTATTTATTTTTATTATCAATATTTATTATAATTTTAAGAGATTTAAAAATTTTAAATGTCTGTTTACGAGTATAACCTTACCATTAGGAATATTATTCTGTCTCGTCGTACAATAATTATCTCCAAAATTAAATTTGAAAAATAAATAAATAACGCTTAAAACTATTAAAAATATTACAATTATAGAATAATTTTAATAATAAATCATTTCGAAAAACAAAATCTTCCCCCAAACCTGTAAACCGAAAATGATTTCAAATTAAGAAATAAACATTGTGAGGCGAAATATTCACAGTGAACATTTACATTCGAATACTAAATCATTACGAAACGAGAAAAAGAAGAAATTTAAACGCAAATTTAAAGATGGAGAAGAAGTAATTTTTTTTAAATCCATTAACATCGAGACAATCGGTAAAGTTCGGGTCGTCGTTCAGACCACAAACGAAATAGCGAAGTGTTACATCTCAATTATTTTGAATATTTTTCAAATCAGTGACCACCCACGCCTTTCGCTATGCTAGAAAAGTCCCGCGATTTTCCCGAAGCGCCGTCGGGAGAATCGGCAGAGCCGCGCTGCACTTTGGGGAGAATCGGCTTCCGGCGGCGGGGAAGCGGCGGCGGGTGGGGCCCACTGCGAAACGCATCGCGGGGTGCTCAGTCACCTGCAGTCGTCCATCGCGACCGGTCGTCCCGCGCAGCCGAGCCTCCCAGAGGCCACATCCACCAAGCTGGCGGACCCCGTGCTGGCCGTGGTCATATCCGTGCTTGTCACCCTAGTGCTCCTGTCGGTCTTCTACGTGTGGTACTGCGCGCTGGTCAAAAATGAGCCTCCCGTATGTCATTACTACTGGGATAACGATAATACTGTTTAAACTGTTCGTACGCTACCTCGTCTTCGCCTCTTGGCTGCTATACGTGTGGTTGCGCGAAAAGCTCGGGCAGTGAATACAATTTGGACTTGGACTTGAAAGTTGAACGTTGAACTTGACCCCGCCTCTTTGTCATCCATCATGCACTACAGCAGCGAGCACGCATTATTTTACGAATACGTTACTGGGGAGAAAAAATCACCTGCAAGCTTGAAGGCTAACCCCGAACCATGGTACAAAATGAGTAAGTAGGCTGCTTGCGTTAAATAAACGACCCTACATCAATAGATTAATGGCAAATTAAACATAATAATGTAACTATATGCAATTTAATGTGAGGAAAGTACATCTTAACAGACATTTAAAATTTCTAAAAATCTTAATGTGTTACAATTTTAACTCGCATAGATAATTAATTAAATGAAAACAGAGATATTTCAAAATTATTTTATACTTGATGTAGAGGTGTTTTGATGATTATTATTTTTTATACCTCTTTTTGATTTGCGGAAGTGCGAATTTCTTGAGACCTCTCGTAGCGATTGCGTTCAATGAAATAACTGATGAAAAGGAGTATTTAAAACGAGTAAACTGGAACTTATTTGCTGTTAAATAATTCATTCGTGCAAGCGTAATTCGTTTAAAATGGTAATAAAACTATTGTTATTTTAATAATACAATTTACGTGGCTTACGTAGCGGAAAGCTCGCGAGCTTTCGTAGCAGGCGCGCGCGTAGAATTGTTTGTTCAGTGAAGGAGCTTAAGCGTGCAACAAGCGACGGGCGTTTGTAATTCGGTGTCTCGTAATTCGCCCTTCCTCCAGCCCGCGCTCTACGAGAACCTGTTGATCCACCTGTTGCCTCGGCCCACAGCGGTATGGGCCGAGGCAATACTGTTGAAAAGTGTACCATTTAAGCTCGCATCCGAACGTACTATATGGAAGTGATAGTGTACGCGCGTCGCGATTATACATGAGATTTTAAAACATTCCATGCATAAAAAATGCGTGCGGATAATCAAAATTGACAGGAATCAAATAAGCTTTTAGCTACACAAATTTCCCTCAACTTTTCGGTATCAGGTCATGAGGAATAAAAATTGGCAGCGGATAGTGTGAACCAAAATCATACATTAATGCTGATTGTACCAAAAATTAGATACTGCGTCAGATTGTAGCGATTTCTTGACGATCAAAATTTGTGTGCCATCTTATTTTCTTTGGAAAACTAATTAAAACTCGTTATTAGGCAAGTTAAAAATAAAATTTGACGTCATCGTTGCACGGGGGGAGGAGTGAAGGAGAGGTGGAGGGGGGGGGGGGTCGTTAGTTTAATCAATAGATGTGGCCGCGCAGATGACCTTCAAAGTTGCACAGCACGCTTCCTCATCTCGCGCTAGATTGAAAAAGCCTCCTATTGGCTATTTCAGCTCAATCCATCCAATTATTAACGTTCAAACTAGCGAGAGATACACCTGAAATTACGGGACCGCAGTCGGGAAAACTCCTTGGTAGCGTGGACGAATTCGAGATCAGAGTGGCTGTTAAGTGGCGCGCAGGGTCATCCGCGAGCGGAAATGCCTCGAAAAAGGAAGAGGCTTACTGGTTTTCAGATAGGCATGAGTGGAAAAAACGTAAGTTAGAAACAATGGGTAGTACTGTAACCGGTAATGATTGCGACTTGCGCAGCTCGCGTGGCCTTGACAAGGTGCGCAGAAACATGCGCCGTGGTGGTTTATGGCGGCGAAAGCGGGTGTTGGCGGGGGGGATCCGGCAATCGATTGCCGGCGCTGACGTGGCGGGAAACGACGCAGTTTCCATCCACCAACTCCCCCCCACTCTGCAGGGTGACCTGTGCTCACTCACCGCCCCCCCTCCCGCCCCTCCCGTGTAACACCTCACTGAAGTAGCCCCCTCGACGCCCACTCGATGACGCACAACGCCCCTTTGCTTCTGCAACCCGGCCACACCCCTTGCCGCTAGAGTCCGCCGCGATGAAATCAGAGCTGGACGAATTTTCTTAAGCCGTACCTCGAGCATCAGCTCGGAATTGGCCATCTATGTAGCTCAGATTAAGCTAGAAGTAATAGGTTAAAATCTAGTTTCGTTTAGGTCCTGTGGCGGTCAAACAAAGGAACGCAATTCGACAGACTTTCATCGCGAATCCTGTTTCACCGAAACTTTTCCACGAAACTTACCGTAAACAACACTCGATTTCGGTAAAGTTAGTTGCCGTCCAAAGGAAAAAAATATTTTCTCCAAAAGAAAACAAAATCAATTTCTAATTTTCAGTATTCCTAGCCCTTGTGCGGTGGAAACTGACAGTGGTCATTTCCACCTAGCCTGTTAGGCCTGGGTGCCTCGGGGACTTGTTAAATACTGCGTCCGCATCACTCAAGCATACCACCAGCAAAACAGAAGCAATCGGTGTTTCGATAGCCCAAGCGACATTTGCAAACGAATGAATAGTGAATAACTAGAAGCAAACCGCCAATTAACATTTAACAAACGTCCTACAACAACCTACCGACGGCCGGTCAGTTGTAATTGAAACAAAAATTATTTGAACATTTGTTTCACTCCGCTCCTTACACACGGAATAAAGAAGAGTTCTCACACTCTTATTCCTTTTGTATTACGCATTAAATATCTAGCCGATTTGTTGCGTTCGAGATAAACTTCGGAATAATATCATATTTTATGCCAATCATATAGAATACATATTTAATGGAGTGGCATCATACCTCATACAAACAATTATTATCAATACAAAAAAAATTATTGATAGCGAAACTCTTCGCTTTTCACATTGTTAAACTGTATGGCATTTTAGGGATAATCAGCAGAAATAAATTCTTAGTATACTATCTTAACTACATCTCAAGATACAAAAAAAATAAAGAGGGACCTCAACTGAGCGGCGGCATTATAAGGTGGTTAAAATGCAATGCAACAATCACATACTTATAACACATAATGAAGTTCACAAATCATGAGGAAAAAGAAGATACCTACAGAGTTTCTTTCAACTGTTTCTTATCCGTTAAAGGAATCTCGGAGCCGGTGTCCGGCGCTCGCCTTTAATTAAATATACTCAAGCAACCTGAGTTCGATCGCCGGTGCCGGCGCCAATGAAGTTTTTAACTTTAAGTGCTGACTTATCACGTGCTCCGCGGTAAAGGAAAACATCGTGAAGAATCCTGCATATTTTCGAAATAATAACAAAAAAAAATATTATGAAGATATGTGAAGTCCACCAATCCGCAGTGGGACGCGTGGTGGTCTATGCCTTGATACCCTTTGTACAGAGGAGGCCTTTACCCAGCAGTGGGACATGTATAGGCTGATACTTTACTTTTGATTTTACTTTAAAGGAATCTCATTAAGAAACTGTGGTAGATTTAAAATTACTATTGGTATTACATATTAAATTTATATTTCTTATTACGATGAATAAATGTTTAAAAATCATGCGATGCTTTCAAATAATCACTTATTAACTGCAAGAATATAAAATTGTACTCGATCTGTTGACATTCTTTAATAAGCTTTGCGACCTTTATATGGTGGAAAGTCCTTAGGCTCAGCTACTAATACAAGTACACAATGCTACTTACCACGCGTTTTATAACTATTACACATAATTCTAATTATCAATTAAAATGAATATTGTTTTAAATTTAAAACAAAACTGTAAGTAAGATACTAATCTGAATATATAGGCAGAGCATAAACAACCAACATACAATATGGAATCGCCTCAACAGAAGTTTTAATAGAAGTTTTTCACGGTTAATTAATTCACAATGAAGTAATCTTATAATCGATGAACTTTTCGAGTGTTTTACCATCGAAGGCTTATTTTTTATTCATTATAAAACGTAAGAAGTGAACTGAACATTATTAATGATAACTTAATAAACTTATTAAGGCCGGATCGCCATTAACTTATGATATTTCAAAAGAATGTATTTGTGAAGATGTACGGAGTGCGCCTGTTGTTTATTACACGTAAATATTTATATTTGAAATAAATCCCCGTTTATAAAATTGAATAAATAATCAAGGAGTGCTGTGCGGCCGGCGCCGTCGGTATTTATAGTTCTGGTCATGGGCGGTTCGGAATATACTGTCATTGGCTGAATTAAGAGGCTGCAATGTATTATTTAGGTATATTGGAAACCTTACATGTTTAAAAATTTTTGTAAAAATTCCCAGTAAAAGTTATAAATATTATTGTACTTAAGTACCTATCAATAGAAAAACAAAACATGGCGTATTGCAGCGAAGGTGCATGGAACAGTGACATTAAGCAATGGCTATATTGACAGCCAAGCTAAGCCGCTATCAGCCGTCACACAAAATGGTCACGTTTTGTGTGTTCATTTTCTCTAATTGAATATACCTGCGTGCAAATTTTCCCAGTTTTAATTTGCTGCTGTTTAATATTTTACCCTTCACAAAGTTTTATCACTGCCGGTTTATCCACTTCTTAAGAGCGTTACCGCGAATCATGCATTTGTAGCCACAACAGCTTTTACGACGGCGCCTGCCAACAAATTGACCAGCGCATTTTTGTAACACCACCATCCTATAGACCTTTGCATTCATAATTTGGGTAAATGAGTAACGGAGACTCACACTCTTGTGTCAAAGTCAACATTTCCATATTCAATATAGGCTTAATTTAAGCTCTTATTGAACGTTAAAATAACTACCACTGGTTCACTAAACTAGGCCTGAACAGAGAAGAACCGGCAAGTAACTCCGCGATCATATCCCTCAACAGGTGCCAGGTTTCAAACCTGAAGTGTCCCAACCCTTTGTTCTAATTTATTGCAGGGCTCACAAAAAGGTTATTAATTTCAACATTACGATAAGTTTAATCATTCCGAATCCATATTATTCTATATTGATATTCATTTATATGTATAATGCATTTAAAACATTAAAATACAATTTCAATATATGAATCAAAGTGTACCTTGCAATCTATAATTACAAGATCGCTAGTTACCTTTACATCTGTTATAACAGTGCAATCAATGGACACAAAATAAACACGGAATGCTCATGTTCATACATACACATTTGAAGCCGTGACAGCTCAGTGTCCGGGCGCTCGCCTTTCGTTCAATGTACTCGAGCAAAACTGAGTTCGATCCCCGGTGCCGGCACCAATTAAGTTATTAATTTTAAGTGCCGAACTATCACGTGCTAAGCGGTGAAGGAAAACATCGTGAGGAAACCTGCATATTTTCGAAATAATAACAATTTTAAAAAATACTTCGAAGATTTGTGAAGTACGCCAATCCGCAGTGGGGCCGCGTGATGGACAAGTTATCACGGAAATATATACAAACCATCAATAAACTGAATCATCTTCAAAGAAAAATGAACTTATTCGTTAGTTCAACTAAGTCTATACTAATTTGTACAATGGTACGTGGCATCGCCCTCAATCTCATTGCCTCTTACCTTAGTAATAGAATTCAAAAAGTATCTATAAATGATGCTAATTCCGCTGGGTCCCCGATGAAAATGGGTGTCCCACAAGGATCAATCTTGGGCCCATTATTATTTTTAGTATATATTAATGATCTCCCCTTTTATACCAGTGGGTTGTGTGATGTTGTACTGTTTGCTGACGATACATCGCTAATTTTTAAAGTTGACCGAAACGTATTAAATTATGACGACGTGAATATTGCACTTTCACATATGCTCCACTGGTTTACTATTAATAATATGGTATTAAATGCCAAAAAACCAGATGTATTCTTTTTACCCTTCCCAGTATAAGAAGGAAAACTTTTAGTTTAATATTAAATAACGTACCTATTAATTCAGTTGAGTCTGCTATATTTCTGGGAATTACAGTAGATTCAAAGCTCCAGTGGAGTCCCCATATATCATCTCTTGCGAATAGGCTGTGCTCCGCTGTTTTTGCGATTAGAAGGGTTAGGCAGCTAACAGACATCGACATTGCCAGACTTGTTTGCTTTAGTTATTTTCACAGCATCTTGTCGTACGACATTTTGTTGTGGGGTAGTGCATCAGATAGAAATTCTATATTTATTCTTCAAAAAAGAGCTGTTCGAGCAATCTAACAATATCGGAGGCCAGAATTCGCTCAGAGATCTTTTCAAAGAGGTTAATATACTCACTGTTGCTTCTCAATACATTTATTGTAATGTTTTGTGTGTACGTCATAACCTTAATTTTTACCTAAAGAATAGTGACAGACATAAAGTAGACACTAGAAATAAGGACAAACTTACCATTGTTTCGTCTACAAAAGGAAATAGGTCGTCCATGAGGCAAAGTGTGCGCATGTATAATAAAATCCCACAGTCGATATTAAGTCTGCCGCTTGCCCAATTTAAATGTAAAATTAAAAAGCAACTAATGATTAAAGCATATTATTTCCATTTCGGAATATCTCGACGACGCCAATGTGTGGAGTTAGTACTGTCGATACTCACGTAGGCTAGAAAAAGACTATTATACCTGTATATTATATTGTACCCTGATATTTTTGAAAAAGAGCAACTGTTGAGTTTCTTGCCGGTCTCTTCTCAACAGAAACTGCTTTCCGAACCGGTGGTACCTTACGAACCTATATACATAATCTTTGGTGTAAAATTTTACGATTCATAAAAGCGCGCAAGCGTCTATTTGAATAAATATATTTTTGATTTTGATTTTGAATGCTCTAGTTTTGGCGTTTCTACATGTAGCGGCACAAGCAATGACATTGAGCGCGGTAGTTGACTAGCCGTTACAGTAATTCCATAATGTGCATCTTATATATATATAATCGGAATCTCGGAAACGGCTCCAGCGATTTTCATGAAATTTAGTATGTGCGGGGGCGAAAAATCGATCTAG